ATAAATGTTTGGAGAAAGAGTTTTGCTTTTCAACCAGGTCTGTTTTCTAGTCTGGTTCACAGAATAGGCACAAAAACAGGTGTTGGCACCATTGGGAAGAGGAGAAGGCAGAACTAAGTAGCCAAGAATTAGGAATTTTGTTGGATGACAAGTTAAACTGCCATAAAAAATGGTCCCTCTAACTATGGTCATGGAAAATTGAAGTGACTCTCATCAAATTCCAAGATTAACTATGCAACTGTAACTTATTATATTCAGTTGTCTAATTCTAATTTTCTCTTGTTTTTGTAATTAGAGCCAATTGGCTAAAGAAACCAGATGCAGATTCTGATGAACTCTTTCGAATGGTAGCTGAAGTTTTTATCCTGTGGTGCAAATCGCATGTAAGATAAAATGTATACTTTTTCTTCCATTTCCTTCTGTCTTTAAGTATAAATGTGGTGCATGCAGGTGAATTAAACTTCTGGTGATTTTTTTCTTCTTTAGAATTTTAAAAGAGAAGAACAAAATTTTGTGATTCAGAATGAAATCAACAATTTGGCATTTTTAACAGGAGACACCAAGAGCAAGATGTCTAAAGTAAGTTAATAAAAATTTGTGGATCAGTTAAACCTTCAGCATGCATTCAGTATGTTGTAAAAAGGCTCTGAAAATCCACTCAGATTGCAGCTGCTGTGCTGGTAGAAGAAACAAAAAATAGTTTTGATTCTTGATGATAGACATGACAACTACTGTGCAAAATGTAGGCTATGTACCTTAGAGTTACTTATTAGATGTCTGTTAAGTAGTCAAAGACACAAGATTGAAATAAAGGTCTTGATTTGAAAAAGTTACATGTATGAGAGAATATGGGTTGTAATGTATAATATGGGTAGGTCATCTTTCAGAAGAAAAAAAGGGTAGACTATTTTATAAAAGCAAGTGAAGAAACATTGTTTGCCTGGTCTTTTTCTTGTGAATGTCAGTGTTATTCTGTCAACTCTGATGGAGAAACGTTGTCTTTGCATATAGTTCTATTCATACATATAGTGTGCCACATGCGCTTTTTTCTTGTTTCTTATTAATGACCACATTAGTTTCGTTTTTGCTCATTTTCAATATGACAAGATGCAGACATGATGGCTGGAAAGTACATTTGTTGCCTGTGTAACAGAGAAAATGTGCGTTGTCAAGATAAAAAATGCAGCTTTGACATTGACTGAGGAAGATTGCCTAACTTAACTAAATCCACATGAAGTTTAATTCTAAATTAGTGTTGGGAAATGTAGCAATGAACCCTTTGCTTTGTTCATATTTGTAATGTATTTGGAGTAACCCTGTTTTGAAAGTGTTCCAGAGAAGTGGTGGGGTTTATTGTTTTGTATTTCACTATATTTTGATTGTCTGTAACCTAGCTACTCTAAGTCCACCTTTGGACAATAGAGAGTCAGATAAAATGTGCCATTACATTTCTTAACTCTCTTTAAAAAAACCTTGTTTGCTGATTTTCTGTTGTACTCTTTTAAGTTCTGAAACTTGGTTAAGCCAAACTCTGGTATTGGAAAGTTTACATGCAAAACAACAGATTTTCTGCTTGTCACTAGATCATGACTGGCACTGAACAGCAATTCAAACAGTATAGAGAATTCCATATTTACAGAAAAGGAAATTTTTAATGTGTTTTCTTGTTTTCAAGATGCAGTTCCTTGAAATTGTCTGATAGAATCGAAATGTTTGTATTATCCTCATTTTGCAATATCAGTAGTGCGCACAGTCCATGCTGTTTGATGGTCAATAGCACAATAAGAGTCTAACACATAGCTCTGTACTTCTATTATATGGCAATCACTACATGTACATTTAATACATATACTTCAATATTTATACATTAGAATTGGCCTGAGGAGCCAAGATTTTGGTGTACTTTTTTTAAAAACATGATAGATGAGAATCAGGTGATTCGTATTTAATCTAAATTATGTCTCACTGAAGTACTGATAATAGGATAATATGATGTAAACTGTTAGTGTCATATTTTAGTCAGTCTGACATGGGAGGAATGGAAAAACAAATCTTTACAAAATAAAGAATAGGTATCCCTCATACTGCTCTGATTTGGATAAAATCACAGTAATTTAACATCAAGAATCTATATGATCCAAACTTGAAAGAGTTTGGTTTTGAGATTACGTTTTCTAATGCCTGTTGTGCATATTTAAGTATACAGATATTTTACATACTTGTATAAATATTTCTATACAAAACAGGGATGTAGATGCATATGTAAATGCACTTTTCTTCATATGGGTATGCAGTACAGGGAGATTATAAATTTTTTATATGCATATCATTTTTTGTAAGCATATCAATATCAAATAGCATTCAAGGACACTGCGTGGTTATTGCTAATATAGGAAGAAAGAAAATAGTGTATTGTTCATGACTGAATATTTTATTAATATGGTACCATTATCTGCAGGAGTGATCGCAGCACACCTGATCTTTTAGATAGGGAATTATTTCATGATGACTTAAATACCACGATACAATACGAGGCATCTTTTAGAAGTGTTGTATTGGTTTTCTAGATATGGTTTCTAAGGAGGAAATTGATAACATTTCATAACATGTAAGTCCTTTAAAACCAGCGCATTCATTAAAGCCTACATTTAAATCCAAATATATATGTTTTTAAGACTGCATAATTTAGAATAAACAAGAAATTCTCTAAGTAACTGAATTTCAGGGTTTCTTACAGGATTTTATATGTATTTATATCCTCAGAGAATTATCAGTAGAGGACATTAGATTAGGGAACCTTATTTTTCTAATTTCTTGCTCAGGAAGTAGCATGCTAACACAATAATTAACACTTTCCTCTTTATGACCAGTTCCTTTTTATTCACATTGTTTTTAGTGGAAGTAATCATATCCAGTATTTATCAAGCATGACAATATATAGATAACTCCAAATATGAACATTGGCTATTAACAGTTGACCCAAGACAGAACAGTTTGGGGTCTCTTAAAGGACTAAAGTCCCATGCTGATCTCAGACTGCTTTAAGCAACTGTCTGTCTTACAACAGAGACATAATATTTTTCCTAAAATACAAGATAATGTGATAGTACTAGTGTGATCATGTATGGAAGGTTCTGTATCTTTACATACCATATGCAGAAAAAAATTATGCGGAGGATGAAGGATTAGGATTACATTATTTATCGTTAGCTAACAGCAGTGGTAATAAATTATTCATCATTAAAATAAATAAATTTATTAAGTACCCATTGTATTTTGATTATACAATACTAATTTTGTTAATATTTTCTCAAATAAATGTATTAACAGCTGAGCAAGTTTTTTAATTTTTCTTTTCTAATAAAATGGCAGCAGATTGCTCGGAGGGGAATGGTAAGTTAGAGAACTTTCAGTCCGAGAGAGACTGGTGACTTAGATTGCATTGAAATAACAGATTTGTGATAGAAGTGTTGAAATGGAGAATTTAAACACTTTCAACTCCGCTAATCTATTATTTTTGAACCCTTCATAGGTTTGTTCGTACACTAGCATTTTGATTAAGATGCAATGATGTCCTATTGTGTTTTACAGTGAATTGGTATGAAAACCAAAATGTGTACATTCACATGTACATAATAAATGTGTATGACATATGTGGGCCATTTTTCTGTGTAACTTTCGGAATATAAATGAATGTGTGGCTGGATTTATAACCTCAGTTGCTAAACACTTGCATATCCTACTGAAGTTTTATTTGACTCACCCTCATTATTGATTTTTTTTTTTAATCTAATTTTAAAAAGCATTTGGATAGACCTATTATAGAAGTTTGAGGCAGTCATAAAATCCAAGTTTGTATTATGAAGCAACACTGTCGGTTGTGCCCATTTGTAATATATAATACTTATTTGCAAATTTACGATAATTAGAGGATTTCATGTTAGATCTAAAATTCTTGCAGAAAATACTCTTCTTTTAGACTATTTAAATCACACAGAATATGTTTCCTTTAGGTATACTATGGTAAATCATGAATGGATTACTTTTATTGTCATCTCTAATAAACGAAATATAATTTATGTCTTGTCTTTACCTTCAGTGTATATCTGCTGAGCCATGTCTGTGCAGCATGTACATATTTCACACAACAGAAATTTTCAATTAAAATTTGCTATTTGTCTGAGTAAGGTGTTGATGATTCTAAGATGCTTAACACTTAATTTGATGATTAGTCTTTCAGTCTTTCTTGACTTGTAGCTGATTTTCTTCACTATGTGATATAAATATAACAGGATATAAAAAGAGATTTTAATAATAGTGTGGCTTCAACATTTAGAGGCTAATTCAAGTATCACAAGAAAACAAAGTTACTATTAGAGCCATCACAGAAATTGGGGCTTGCCTTGTGTTTATGGTCTTTTCTGTTTATTTTTAACCAGCAGTTTTCTATAGTATTTTCCCATGCCTGGTCAAGGATTCTTCTGTTGAATTTTTTTGCCATTGTACCATAACTACATGGTTTTGTTGTTTTCTTAAGATTGCCTGGCACAATGATAATATAGTGTTGACTATGGAATACATGTTTATTTAGGTGTAATATTTATGGTATTAACAAACATGAAAAAACCCTGTGTATGTATGAGAGTTACAGTTGAGTTTATAACAGTATTCTCAAAATGGGCACTGATGAGAGATATGAGCTTAACTCAAGTTTCTCTCAGGCTGTCTTCAAAACAGTAATGAGCTATGCAATGGGAAAATACATCTACAAATGAAATGCTGCATCTTCACAGTGATAGTTTGATTTCCATTTCTAAACATAATTTTTTCAATCATATTTTGGTGGGGAAAAGAGGTAGAAAGAGCTATTTTGTGAATATTTTTTATTATTGCACTATAGAGTGTCAGACACCTTCCTCCTTTTAACAATATTGGGAAAAGATGCAGGAATTAGTATATTGATGTGTTTACGTAAGTAAAGTAGGTGTACTTCCTTATGTGTTAAAGCAACAAATGGTAGTGCTGAATAGCGAAAGATAAATGCAGAAGTTCAGTAATTTAATAAGGATTAAGCTGAATAAAAACTATTTCACTAAGATCTCATTTGATTATACACTTCCAGTCTATTGTTTTAGCAACAAGCCTATTATATTTTTGTTGTCCTGATAAAGCTGAGTAAGTTTGTTACGAACTTGTAAAATGATCATCTTTTCATCTCTTACTTATGTTTTTTCCCTTTATTTTTCTTTCATACAGGCCATGCAAGTAAAGGTACAGGTCAAAGTGCATGATGTGTCTTTGTTTTAGATTTAGAGATGATCAGGCTCCAAGCATTCTTTCCATTGATCATAGCAGTGGCGTCACAAAGTAAAGGCCCGGGTGCCACCAACTATAAATTTTATCTGAGTTAAAGTGTCAGTATTTGACCAGAGCAGCTGAAATTCCCTTTGGCACTCCCACATGTTGCTTAATGTGAAAATGTAGTAAAGTTACATTTTGTAATTATTTCAGATGTACGTTCTGCCTCTGCTGTCTTTCTGCATTCTGATCTTTTTGCTACTATATTGAAGCAGACTTTGTAAAAGCAATGCTTAAGTAGAGTCATCAGGAACCTATATCTGGCTTATGATAATCAAGAAAAATATGTGGAAGAAATGTGCTATAACCTATACTTTGTCTGTAAATGGACAGAAGATTGTACTGGAACCAATAAGTTTAAATAAGATTCAGAGTTCAAAATCCTACACTTTTCCAAAATTAAAATGATCTTAAGATATGAGATGTGACAAAGCTTTTGAATAATCCTTGTTTCTTTTATGTATTTAATTTGTAAAGCTTTCTTTGTCTCCAGTGAACCATAGTTCACCTTCCTTTGCATCATTCATATTATATTTTTTGATATGAATTCCTAATATAGACCAGTACTTTTTGACCTATGGTGTGTTCTTCATTGGTGAAACAGAATGGACAGCAAAATGGAGCATAAAACCCTTTCATCTTTCCCTCCACCCCATGTGCTGAAAGCACACATGATGCCATTAAGAGTTTTTAATCAAATAATTTGGAGGCATGAGTTAAAAAGTGAGCAGTTGTGTTAAATTAATACACCTGATTTCACACTTTGCTATTGTCAAACTTCCCCAGGTGTATAGAGTAGGATTTAATGAATGCTCTCATGATAATCTCAGAGAATTGAAGATTTAAGGAGGGTTGAAAATACTAAAAATATTAATTCCATCATCTTAACCAGTTTTAGCTGATTTTTTTTTAGTAGAAATAAATTCTTTCTTCTTTTGGATTGTATATTTAATTATTATGAATCTACTGCAGAATCTGTAATTCTTTTACTGTATATTCTTGTTGAAAAAATGTCCATTTGTGTTTTTAAATCTTCAGACAAGCAAGATCATTATGTACTGTTAGGCAACCAGATTATATAATTCTTCATGTTGACGTCCTTTTAGTGCAATTAATTATTTAGCCAACATAAATCCAATTTAATGCTCTTTACATACAAAATTAAGGTATTGTGTTTACTCATATAGGTGCATATTAGAACAGAAAGAGACATCGTTTTATTGTCATTTAGGTTTCTGCCTGTGACTCTGCTTATACATTCACAGACAGCAAAATTTGATGGCAAAGGCAGAATGGATCTTCTTTTCATGTTTTAAAAACGTTCAAGTTTTAAGGTTCACCTATCTTGTCCATATCTAGCTACTAATCTCAAATGAAAATAAAGAACATTGGATGTGTAAAATGTCCACAATCATAAAGATGCAGAAAAGTAAACCAGTATCTCCTTCTTTTTCTTTTTGTTTGGTTTGGTTTTTTGTTTTGTTTGGGTTTTTTTTTAATATATTATTCCTAATTTAAGATGCAAAGTGACGCCACTGGAATGCAGTGATACATTGTGGGATTTGTTTGTCTGCTGTCAATGTAGAGTACAAATAATGTCATTATTTAGAGCCATTACATCACTGCTATTTCTAAGGCACTTCCAAAAGCAAACCTTTGAGGCAAAGTACTCTCTTGCAATTGTTAGTTCCTTAAGAAAGGAAGCCACATCCGTTGTGTGTTCCCTCTGACCTGCAAAATGCTCAACACTAGCTATGTACACAGAGATTCACCATCCAGAAGACAGAATTTGCCAAAATTTATCTACTGAGTAGAATATGTATGGCTGCCTTTTTTTCTTCCAGTGATTACTGTGATAATAGTGTGGTGACAATTGGTAAATAATGAAATGCAGTGGGTTCTGCTGTGTCCTTATGTGGAACTACACAATGTATTATATAAACAGTAGTCAGTAAAACATAATTGACAGAGGGAAAAGGATGTGGAGGGTTAAATGCAAGCATTTGCTGTTTTGTAATGTTGTATAAGCCTGGAGGCCTAGTCCTGAAATCTTATCTTAGGCAAAACTCCCTTTGAGTGTAGTAGGAGTTTAATCTAGGTACAGAATTCAGAACTGGGCTATTTTTATGTTGTTGTTGTTTACCATATGTTGATTAAGTATATGGGTCTGTTCTAAAGATTTTGGTTTGCTGTCTCATAAATGACAAGTTGTGTGTGAAATCTTGTTGTACAATGTCTGGTGTAAGAAGATAGGGCAGATGTTATTCTGTTGTTCTGTTTACTTCACTGTCTCTCTTGTTTTTCTTTTCCTATTACTCATGATCTCCAAAAATGCAAAAGACTTAATTTTTCATCCCAGAGTTACTTACGTTAGCCAAAGCCAAAGGGCAGTGCTTTTCCCAGAGACTCTAACTCATTGGCATTTCATTGCATTGAATCAAAGCCTTTTAGATACTGGTATTTTTCAGTTGAGACAAACGACAATATTCATTCATTCAGACCATGGATAACTATCCTTATGTAAGTTTCTAACAAAAATGTAAACATCCTGAATTTGTCTCTGTAACATTGAGAACTAATAGTGTCCTCTGAGACTGACTCAGCTTTTTAATTTTAGAGTTGTTTCTGATTTGAGAGGTGAGATCCAGAAAATATATTCATATGTATGAATGCAGACAAAAGTAAGTTACTGCTATTAAAATCTTACTGTTATTCTAATTTCTGCATTGGTGCACACCAAAAGTATTCCTTCACATTTCCCGCTCAAGACTGTACACCCTTCCTCTAATGTGGCATTTTTAATTAGTTGTACTACATCAGGAAAATAGTTTCCTTGGACTGTTAGGGGAAGAGTGTGTTGGGAAAAGTGTGTGATCCAAGAATTACAGTCATTTACTTTTCTATTTTTTTAATTACAGTCTGGAGGACAAGATCAAGAGAGAAAGAAATCAAAACGTAGAGGGGATTTGTACTCCATACAAACATCCTTGATAGTAGCTGCACTTAAAAAGATGCTTCCTATTGGCTTGAATATGTGTACTCCTGGAGATCAAGAGCTCATCGCTTTGGCTAAGTCTAGATACAGCCATGTAAGTATAATTTGTAATAGTTTTTAATGCAAATTAAGCAGAACTTTATAAACTGAACTTTAAGGCATAGATATCTAAGCAGTCAGTATAATTAAATATATCAATGTACTGTAAGCAATTATAACTGCTATTTGTGCTTTCACAAGAAAAAATGGTGTGTATAGACAGCTGCCATCATCTCCATGTCATTTTCCATTTGTAAACAATGTACATTTTTACCTATGTGTATTCATTTGGACCAAATGCTGAAGTACCATTAGTTAGATTTAAATTCTCTTCAAAGTTTAATCCTTGTTTTTTGGTCAAAATTAAAGAAAGCCTTTATCCCATGCCCTTCTGGTAACTTACGTACTTTGAAAACAGAAGAGGTTAAGTTTCAGTATTAAAATAATAGCTGTCCGCTGTTGTACATATTCTTTATGAGGTTATTCATAATCTGAATTGAGAAATACTTCTATATTTCTACAGAGGGACACTGATGATGAAGTCAAAGAACATTTACGTAACAACTTACATTTGCAGGAAAAGGTAATATAAAAAACTTTCTTAAAGATGCTGATGTGCACTTTTGAAACACAGAAGTCATAATTGTTTTATTTATTGTGATAATAAAAAAACAACAAAGGTGAAAAGGTATTAGAAAAAAATTGCCATTTTAACATTTCTCTTCATAGTTTTTCCATGAGAATAATTATTTTATTTGTAGCTGTGGATGGTATTTTTAAGTTTCAGGATGTCCGACAGGATGGGAAAAGTATGAATAATTAAGTTATTGGTAGCTTTAAAGCTATAATTACTTAGAATCAAGTCAATCCAAGAATAAAATAAAATTAAAACTATAGTATTTCAGCTTCTCTTCTTAAAGTTAACTTGCATTAATGATGAAATAGTTTTTCTAATAATATATGCATTTTAAAGTGGCTATGACAAAATAACAAAAGCTTGTGTCATCTTAGCCCTTAAGTGTTTTACAAGCACATTTACGTTCCTACTGTTTATATGCTGAATACACTGTCAAAGGTGATATCAAAATGGAGTTCTCATCATTCTGTAGATAATAATTTAGATCATTGCCTACAGGCTTTGAACATAATAGGAGTAACTCATTTATCTGTCATGGGAGATGACTGTCTGGGTGCTATAAATTTGTGCTTACATAAGTTTAAAGTGGACACACTACGTAATGCCAATGTGTTTTTTCTATTTCTGTCTTGCCAAAAAAATCAAAACCTTTGGCTGTAACTCTTCACCTATTGAAATTCCAGCTGTCTTTTATAGGCTCCATAAAACAGCTTTCCTCTGTTGATATAGAAGTCCTCCAAGGACTTAAAATAAATTCCCCTACTAAATGTGCTTCCTTATTTTTAATGCAGTTAAATAGGGTACAGAAGTCACCAGCTGCTTTATGTGGTTTCATTAAATAAAAATACAGAACCTTGCTTAAGAATTGAGTTCAGTTACGCAACAGTATACAGTATCTAATGCTATTTTTCTGATAAGCCAGCAGATGTTAATTTTGACTAAAAGGTGACAGATGAAGTAGGAGTATCTATAACCCTCTTTATTATACTATGAGAATAGTAGGCAAATTCAGTATCTTCATTCAGCAGCTTATGTACAAAATATGTTGGTTTTTAGTCTGATGATCCAGCTGTGAAATGGCAGTTAAATCTATACAAAGACATTTTGAAGAGTAATGAGCCTACTGACCCTGAGAAAAATGTGGAACGTGTGCAGAGGATATCAGCTGCTTTATATCATCTGGAACAGGTAAAAAGCTAAATGTCAATACTGTGTTTGTTTTAAAGTAGCAAGAGTTTTTTTCCTTGTAGAGATTACTTCTACTTCAGTGAGTGTCATTATTCAAGTTTCCAGATAAAATTTTTTTTTGCACATGCGTGCATGTGCACACAGATGCACATACAGGTGTGTACATATGCAAAGTTTTTAATCTGATCTGCTGAAGTCCCTCAATTTAGCTTTAGGGAAAACTCGGGACTTATTTGCCTCCGCAAAATTTTGTGAACAGTCACAAGAAGTATAGTATGAAAATCATCACCAATCAGTAACTGAAAGCTTGGTAATTTTAGGAAGAGATGTTTGCATGTGCACTTTTAAATATACTGGTTTCAGCCCGTCTCCCATTTCTCCACCTGAGGATGCTGTAGCAACAATTGGTTGCCTGTTCAGTCAAATGATACAATTTAAATACAGAAAGGTATTGTACTGTTCCCACATAAAGCTAATCCATTTAATTCACAAGTGATATAGCACAGAAATTTGTTCACATGAACAATTGAATGTGCATAGTTAGAAACAGACAAAATAACAATTTTGGAATTTTACAAAGGTGTCCCACATGAGATACTATGGCATCTTGAGCTTTTCTGTAGAAATGAGAAGTACTCAATATAAGGCCTCCGGTATTTTTTCTCGTTAATTTAAAAACAAAAACAAAATAAAACCCCCAAAATCCTTTTTTTTCAGATGATGGAGGAGCTTTTGCAGCATTTTCTAATTTGTTAACTATATTAACCACTAGCTAAAAAGAACATTTTGAACCAAAGTTGAAGAGATATCTTCCCATAGGTTGAACAACCACTGAGATCAAAGAAAGCTGTTTGGCACAAACTCCTGTCAAAACAACGCAAAAGGGCTGTTGTTGCGTGTTTCAGAATGGCACCATTATACAACCTGCCAAGGTAAATGGCTTAAAGTTTTATTTTTTTGCAACTTTTGTTTACATTTCTGAGAGCAAATATTGCTTGTGTGTATACCTACGAGTTTGCTGATTGCTAGGCCTATGTCATTTTGTTTAAAAGACAAAAGAGTTGTTCAGTTATCAGCCAATTCCTCACAGCAGCAAAACACTTGTCTCATGATAAATAACCAGAGGGGAAAAGACCATAGGAATTACACTGCTTCAAAACCAAAATGCTTCATTTTTGTCAGCTGTTGCTCTGTATAGTTCCTGAAGTTATTTGCGAAAATTAAGTTGTTGCTGTTTCTGTCCCTTTTTTTCTTCTGATCAGTTGTTCTTTTCTTTATTTTCCTGTGTTTGTATTCTTTTTTCTGTTTTTAACTTTGTATGGCTATTCCTCTTGTATTGCATGAATGCTTCATCCTGTTTAGTTTGTCTGAGGCAATCTTTAGCTACTACATCAGAATGTTATATACATTAAAGCAGCTATTGGGGCAGAGCAGTGGAGAATGATATTTTGGACTTGTGCGTTGCTCTGCTGCTTACTCCAGTTGAATGTAGATACCACAGTGTCCAAGATAAAGTGCATGTTGTGCCTGGGTCCATCTGCTGCTTTCAACAGAATATTAAGACCATGCGGATTTGGGGTCATTTTCTTTACCCTGTTCCTACTCAGCAAATCTGCTTTTTATTTAGATACAGCCTAAGCACATCTTTAAGTTTGTTTCTTACCTTCTTCTGCACTTTTCCGCCTTTCATGTTTAATATTTTTGTCCAAAGATTGTTTGCAAAGTATTTAACAGAAGAGTTGCATTGCATTCTTAAATGCCTTTATTAAAGCAAATCTACATGCTTGATATCGGCTAAAGGTCTGTAGCTGTGCCACTAACATATTCAAAGAATACTAGGTTTGCACAAGACAAAAAGCCAGCTATACTGTAAAAAGCACATATCCTTCCTTTACAAAAAGTAGTAGTTCTAGACTTATAATAACTTCTGTAAGTTGTCACACCACTACCAGGCAATCTTTAAAGAACCAGAGAAATGAAAAGATTTCAGTACAACATAAAAACAAACAGGCTAGTATCAACCATTTTACTTCAACAACGGTGTTTGGAAAAACGAGAGGAAGTGGTGTGAAGAGCAAGCACCCGTTTCAGTATAACGTCTTTGTGAGCTTTTTTTTTTTTTTACAACCCTATTCTGGATTTATAAATTCTTAAACTGTTTGGAATATATGTGAGTACCCAAATGATAAAAATAGTTCATCTCATTTTGCCTTTAAAAAACCCCATTTATTTATTATTTTTGAGGAGGATGGAACACTTGCCAAGGGGCAAAATGGGCTATGAATCTGTATTTTTATTTTCAAGAAAATATGGAGTAATACTCATAGAAGTACAACGTTTACATTATCTGTAATTTTCATTAAAAACTTTTCTGTGTTAAAAAGACTGAGGTTGGTTCTTCTCAAACTTTATGGTAGATTTTGTGATGGAGTTTACTGCTAATTTAAGTATGAATGTGAGGCAAATCTGCCCAGTTATTTTTTCTCATAGAGTCTAAAAATTATTCTAAAAATGAACTGTTGTAAAACTCTTTTAGCCAATTAATTGTGGTGTCGACAATTCAAAACAGGCAAGAGTGAAAAAGCACAATCGTAGAATGATGTAGGTAGGAAGGGCCTTTTAAATGTCATCTAGTCCAAACCCCCTGGAATGAGCAGGGACTTTTAGGTGTATCACTCAGTTGATAGGTGAAGAACAAAGTTATAATATTCATTAGTTTATAGAAACACCTTTTTTTAGATAAATCATAAGATTGTGACAGGAAAATAAGGCTATCACACTACTATGTACCTATGAGTACTTCCATAATTCATATTGATTGTGTTAAGACACCTCTGAACCCTAGGGAGATTATTTCCAGTGGTGTGTGATTAATTCTAGGGGCTATGTAAATCCATTTGAACCAGAGTTTCAAATGCAGCTCTCCTTATCTTGTATGTTTCCTCATTTTAGTTGCAGCTTTATATTGGCAGTGTTAGTTCTAAATTTGATGCTAGAACAAATTAATTTAAAGGGCATAAGCAAACATTATGGTGGCACCCTTTCATTTATCCTAGAAAAGATTAATATCTTCAGTGAATAATGATCTCTTTCTTTTGAAAATTTCAGGAGATTTCGGTGGCTTTCAATGTTACTTAATTTTAATCTCATATTTTAATCTAATATTCTAATTTAATCTAATATTCTTATATGTATCAGGTTTTAGGAATTCCAGTAAGATATTTCAGAAATTGAAATGCCTGTTGATGCGCAGGTGTTTGTTGAATCATAGAAAACTTAATTTAACTTCTACCATTAATATTCCAAGTACTCCCTTTTCTGAGAGGAAAATACTGTTTCTGAGAAATAGTTGTATTTTTTTTTCAAGGAAAATAAATCAGTTAAATTAGGAAATACTGATTCTTCATGTTCTGTGTTTAATGACTGTACATGGTTTTGAAAAAGTGTCTTATGTGATAAATGTTTTCTCTGATATGCGTGTATTTATGTTTGATGTTTTAAGGAAATTAATTTGTAAAAAAATTTGTCTGTCATCTGTACATGCACATAGATACAGCGAAGTTGTACATGGCAATTTTTCATACACAGTTTACAAATACATTCTTTCTGAGTACTTTATTGAGTTTAAATTGTGCCTTTCTTCAATGAAAACCTATATGCTTTTCTTCAGACACAAAATTAGCAATTTCTTCCTGAGCACCTTTCAACGTGTTTGGCTGGAAAAAGTACATGAAAAAACTCAGTATGACAGGCTTATACTCAAGTTAACGGTAATGTAACTTGTGGAGAGCCTCTTCCTTATGCGCACACTTATTCCTTCTCAGCCATGATTTGATGTTATCATAAAACATGAATTTGTACAATTTTCAGAGGAGATTCTGATTGGTCAGTTTTTGAAATTTGGTAACAAAATGGCACCAGTACAGCAGGAGAGCCTAGAAGGTTGGCTCAATGGCTATTCTATTATAAAATAATAATTCATGTGCACAGTGCATTTAAACAAGTCAGAGTGTATACAGCCAATTTGTATAGCTTTTGTTAGTGGCACAGGATAAAAGCAAATGGAAAGGCTGTGTGGAACAACCTTTGTATAACCTCATGCAGTGCACCTCAAAACAAAATTTTTCCCAAATGTAATGTAAAGATGGAATCGTTTGGCCATTATGATGAATAATCTAATTGCAATGAGCTGTATTTTCTGTGGAAAGTTAAATTAATGGATACTCTATGGTAGTAATTAATATGCCTATGAATTTTTTAGAATTAGTCATTCTCTTGAGCAGGTTTTGTGTATTTCTAATCCAGCTTCTTTGAGGACACATTAATACTGCCCTGATTTGGAACGGAAAGAAAAGAAGCTGAGGTTGTGCTTCTCTCTGTGGCAGAAGGCAATGATTGTCTGCAGATAACATGCTGGAAAGCAGTTGATAATTACTTTGGTGTTGATGGCCAACTTCTGCTGTCTCAATGTCCTAAACCTAGTAAAATAGATTGACATCTTGTAGGTGTAAATCCCACCCACTCATTCTCAGTCTGTTCAAGTGTGTATTTTTCCCATGTTTGCATTAAGGTTCCAGTCCTGCAGTTTCGTGTATAATGTATATAAGCACTCCCAAAGGCTTCAGAACAAAAAGTAATCTATACATGTGTGTATAAAAAAAGATAGTAATAATGTTCAAAAGTACATGCGGGTTTGTCACTAAATGTTAGTTACGGTTTGCATTTCATTTCACTGACCAATCAGAGGATCAGGATTGTACAAATGTGTATCCTTACTAATCATTAACCACCTGAGCTGTTAAACTATGTTTTGTTACCCCTCTTGATCTCACTTTCACAACCCCCCCAGGCACCGTTCTATTAACCTCTTCCTCCATGGCTATCAGAACTATTGGATAGAAACAGAGGAATATTCATTTGAGGAGAAACTAGTTCAGGATTTGTCTGTAAGTACTGATGTAATTGGGCATATTTTTCAGTGCCCACTTTAGTGTATATTTTATGTATCTGTTATAAACTAATTTTGGTGTACTCTATGCATAGGCATAAACTTAGAAAATATTAATCCTTATGCTTCAGGGCATAAGGTCATTTTCTGCTGTGGTCAAAAAGACATTCACCCTGCGATGCACGCAGAAGTGCACTGACGTGGTTTATGCCTTCAGATGAACTATGGGATACTCATTCTTGGGAAGAGAAATGGATTAGATTAACTGGCAGGCTATTTTTGTCATTATGGTAATTCCTATGTTCCTATATTTTATTTTATTTTTTTTTAAGCTTGATATAATTGATCCTTTTCCCCTTTTTAAAATTTTTGTTGATGCATAATATTTAATTTTAACATTTTCAGCTTTGATACAAATTAATTTCGCTGTTTTCTTGTTGATACATCATAAGGAGAAGCAAATATATGCAGCCATATTCAGCAAAAATTTAGTTTATTTGTGTACTTGATAAAAGTGATTGGTAAACTTCAGCATGTTGTTACTGAATATTGATTCAGAAAGCCTACTGCTTATTCTCTTCCCTCACTGTAGTTAGTTTGCCTAAAATACTTCCAAGGGGCCTACCTCTATAGTATCTAAATACCATGAAAATGAATATATAGCTTCCTGGATCCCATTAAGTTGTATCAGGAGATGCTTCAGTGTTAGCAAAAGCAGTTATGTTGTGCTTTGTAAAGACCCATTGGTATAGAAGGTTGTATGATTTTTCAAAATTACAGCTAGTATATTCTTCTCATGCTCTGGACAATTATATGGTCACAGTCTTTGTTTTACTTGATTGCTCCTTTCTAAAGGAAGGACTGAGGCTATTAATCAAAACAGTGATTACAATTCTTTCAGATTTACTAGAGAGGTAAATTGAACTTCTGTAATTACAATTATTACTATAATTACAAGTATTCTACAATAATTACAAACCCTGCAAAGGGATGATAACACAAGTAAGGTAAAGGTGATACACTGTTCTTTTGCCAGTGCTGGCTATGTTATATTTCAAACTGCCAAAAAATGTTTGATAATAAGATCAGTCCTTACATTTGTTGAATCAAATTTACCTAGACATGATATACAAAAGTATTGTAGCAAACAGTGGTCTGAATAGGATATATCTGATGATATTATTAAAACTAGTTCCATTTACCAATAATTCTCCTGCTAAATAAGTGAGCTGGGACTTTCTTTCAGTTCTGGTCCACTGGAAACACATAATTTCTGCTGAATAAGGCTTCCCTAAGATTTTCACTGTCTTACTCTCAGTACCTTGAAATGAGAAACTTCTAATGTTACTATCAGATATGAATAACAATCAGATACTCTAACTGCTGAGTCATAGAGGCACAAGATGTAAAACGCTGAGTAAGATGAATACTGGCAGTTAATACAAATTGGACAGAATAAAATTACTGAAATCCTTTATTAAGCTTAATTAGTCAATCTTTTTTCTTACTCACGAAACTTAATTTGTATATTCTGATATAAATCTTGAGACAGACACTTCCAAAGAAAGAGGAAGAGGAAGAAGAAGAGATGGAGAAAACACAGCCTGATCCACTTCATCAGATTATCCTCTATTTCAGTCGCAGTGCTCTCACAGAGAGAAGGTAAAAAAGAGCTGTGTTGAAAAGCACATTGAGTAGAAGCACACAGTAACTGAATTTCTAATAAGGTTACAGAAGTGATTTAATACAACTGCAGTTCATTATTGTGCTTGGTGAATACTTTTTTGCTTCTCAGTTGCATTAGAATTTTCATGTGTTTGAACTCGGTATAGCCTTTATATTGAGACAAATATTGACTGGTTTTGACATTTTAGAAGTCTGGTAAATACCCAATACAGAAATAAATGAGTATGAATTCTCATAGAAACATAAAGTCTACAGGAACTGCCGGTTCATTCAGAGTACCCTCCCCTGGTCTCTGCTGGTAATAGATGTGTGTTCTTGTTGCTGGTATTCATTACATTTTGTTCAGTATATCAGAAAACGTATCACTGATGATGAGCATGAATCTCTTTCAGTGCTAGTTTCTGTTTTGAATTTAAACTGTTGACTAGAATATGTATTTTGTATGAGCAGAGTACTCCAGTGTTTCATATACTTTTTTTCTGTACAACTAACATAAACTTGCCATCTGACAGTTACAATTATTCTAACTTATATCTCCATAATACTTTTCTGCACCTGCAACAACCAGTGATCCTTAATTATCCAACACGACTAGGTTGGATAGCCAAATATAACTCTAAATTGTTTAATTAAAAAGTTACAAAGACTTGGTTTGAGATAGGAAAATATAACACTTTTTTCAAGTGTAATAGCATTTCAAGTAGACATGTATCTACTTTAATAACATACAGTTTAATAAAAATGGCATTTAATTTGTATTTATATTAATACTTTATATGTATATTTATACTATATTTATGTTTATAGTTATGTTTATATTTTTATTTTTATTTTGTAGGAGTATGACATCTTTGTAAAATTGTAAAATAATTTTAAATATTTTTATCTCTTTATAGCAAACTAGAAGATGATCCTTTATATATTGCCTATTCTGCCATGATGGCAAAGGTAAGGATATCTATTTCTCCACTCAGGTACTTCCATTAATTTTAGATGCTTTTTAAATCTTTTCCTTCTGTTTCGTATGTGGACTGCTTGATACTAGTAATTTGTATATTTTTAATGAAGCAAGTGGTGTTCAAAGTTATATATATAATGAGAAATTTCCTACATTAAAATAATATTATAAAATTCCAGTATGTGCCATCCTGTTGATACCACTTGGCACTTTGTTTTGTACAGGATTAACTCATGAGCACTCTTCACATGTTAGCTATTTTTATTCTTTGGGTAATTATTTTGGAGTTAATATTTGAAGTCTGTCAAAAATAAGTTGACAATCAGTTTTTGCATCATATTGATTATGGCTGACATGTGAGGAGAATTTGACTGCGGAGATAAATATTATGGATATAAATAGACAGAAGAACACATAGCCTGCAGTTGCAGCTTGTAGATGTAGTTGGATGAATACCCTGAAGTACTCATACATTAAAGAATATCAGCTTCCTAGTGTGGATGAGTGCAAATATTAACAATTACAGGGATTTTAAATCTTTTTAATGCCTTTAATTATTGCTTGGGAAAATGTGTTTGTTCATTTTTCTAGAAATACTGTAGTAAAAACAGGCATTATGTTTCAGAATAAGCAAAATCTTGTTATTTCTGTTTCCAACATAAAAAGAGCTGTCAGGAAGAAGAAGAGGAAGAAGAAGAAGAAGAAAAAGAAAAGACATTTGAGGTGAGAGTTTAAATAACAGAAATGTTTCTTTTTCATTGCTTAATGTACAAGTACTTTAAATATGTCCACTAGAAAAAATGCAAGAATAACACAGTGTGTATTGAGCTGGTCTACTAGGTTATTCATATGAAAGATGGTGTGTTCCAAAGTTTTTGAATCAAACAACCCATGGATTATGGAGGCAGATGGCCTTCAACAGCTTCAGATTTCTCATCCTCCTATTTTTCCTGAATCAGTTACAGTCTCTATTCTGTTCTCATTTTTGTTCCCAAACCCAGGAGAAAGAAATGGAAAAACAGAGAACTCTCTACCAGCAAGCTCGTTTACATGACCGTGGAGCTGCTGAAATGGTCCTTCAGATGATTAGTGCAAGCAAAGGTAATGTTCTGTGAAGTGTTAAAAGTATACATGATATACACGTTATAGGTATAATTCTGTATATACATAGTGTGTTCTGTCATTATACCTATGATATGTATATCATGTACAACTTGTATGTGGTATATAATGAGGCAAAATAAATGTCAGTTACAACTATACTAGGCAGAATTTCCAGGCTGCTTTTCTGCTTGAATAGTTCATAATTGCGAGTTTTAATGACTGCACCCTTGTTTTGACAGGTCATACAGGACCCATGGTTGTTGAAACACTGAAACTTGGTATTGCTATTCTAAATGGTGGAAATAGCATAGTTCAACAGGTAATGCTTTTCTAACTGCTGTGAATCTTGCCTGTGTAAAGGAGGCCAGTAATTTGGAGAATTTGGGTGTTTTGTTGTGTTTTTATTTTAGTCCATTTAATTTTAAGCTAAACAGTGAAGAAATATCAGGGCATTTTTGGTACAATAACAATGATATTATTTCTTGGCAGTGATTTGCATTTCAAATAGTAATTCAGGAAATTGTTAATTCATATAATTTTAATATGGAATTTTTCCCCAAAAACTGTATACCTTCTAGAAAATGCTAGACTACCTGAAGGAGAAAAAGGATGCTGGATTTTTTCAAAGTCTCTCTGGCTTGATGCAGTCCTGCAGGTAAAGGCATAAATCATATTATTACGGTTTCAGTTTTATTCAGGTTGGTGGGTTATTGCTCAGTGAAGGTGGATTTGTTAGATTTAAGTTACAGGAGTCATGAATTGTAGAACTCTTACGGGAAATTTTTGTGAATCAGAGGAATAGTGTCTTAATCTTTTAGAGTATTCTTCCAAAGGAGGAGATAAAGCAAAGACAGTGCATGCCTTTGAAGGCTTAGTTTGGAGGGGCGGCAAAGTAAAATGTAATGACTCCTCCACCGGTCCCAGATCCCTCACGCTTCTGTCTGCATGGTTCTAAGGATGCAGAAAAGCCATCACTGAAGGAGAGACAGGCTAGTGGAGCTTTACTAAGCTTTCATTTTCTGCACATCTCTGATGAGTTACATAATCTGTCTCTTCATCTGAATCCTCTGCATATGTATCAGGTTTGTTAGAGATGGCATGTGACCAGTGACACTACCGTACTCCATTCCCTTGACAAACTGTAAGTTTAAATTAGTTAAGATAAATGTCTCCCATAAAGAAGGTGGAAAACCTTTCTGATTACTCTTACAGTAGACAACCTCTTTTTTTCAAGCTTTTAAAGCAACAGAAGGGTTCCGGAGGAGTAGACTGGGAATTAGAAGTGGAGAAAGCTGTATGAAGGCAGGAAAAATGTGGAAGGAATGGTGACCTACAGTGCAGAAATCATTGCTGAATAGTTGCAGCCTAATTAAATAATATCTGTCTTGTAAATTTTCCATTTATGCAGAACAATTTAGCAAGGACTTGCTCAAACAGGACCTGCAGTGATGGTATTACTGACAAGAGAAAGAAAACAATGTTTTAAAAAATTATTTTCGTTTTAATGATATCACTAGACAGTAGAATATATGACTGCATTGCTGTTTAACTGAAAAAAAAAATAGATAATCATTGAATTCTGTTTGGACTGTTTGAATGAAAGTATTCTGAATGGGTGGTGAGAAGAGTCATTCCACATGCTGGGCTACGCCAAGTTAGCAAAGGAAAATTCTGATGGCAGTGTATTTTGACCTTGGAAGATACGGAATCTCTGATTGCATAAATGTCTTCAAAATATGGAATCGGAGGTTCCATATGTCTTCTGCATAACATAATGTATAATATATACAGTAACAATATAATAGCAATAATAGTGATAAATTAGTGGAAAACAGTGTGACTGAGAACTAGCTGCAGTAATGTCCTTTTGGTAGGCAGGTGTAAGTCAATATAAAGAGTAATATTTCAGGTTCCTTTTCCACTTCATTTATACATGAAACTGTGAATGACGTTACTGGAAGTGAAGTTAGGTAAGTGCTGAGACCTGACCTGAGATTCATTTCTTTTCAGAAATGGACTCAGGGCCCTTATTTTTATCCCAACCTCTTTTATTTAATATACATATTAAATAAAATATGAGGCAATGCATGTCACAGTGGGTCAAGACTAGTTGTTGAAGGCCTCCAGAGATTTCCTAGAGGAAAATAATTTTCCATTGTGTACTATAGTACTTTTTCCTGTTTGTGTTTTTTTTGTTTTTTCAATATAAGTGTTCTTGACTTGAATGCATTTGAGAGACAAAATAAAGCAGAAGGCCTGGGAATGGTTACTGAAGAAGGAACTCGTAAGTAGAATGAAATTGATTCCAGTAGTGCTTAAAACATTATTTGTTCTTCCTTCTTTAACTAGAACTCTTATTCACTTGCAGTTTCTGTTGATAAACTTACTATAAGTAATTCTAGGCTTTGAGTTCTGAATGTGCTTTCTATTTACAAAATCTTTAGCAATAATTTTGAAGAAAAACATTGTAACTTCCAATATTCTTATCCTGTATTCTTGTTATTTTTCTTTGATCCACAGTCATCGTTCGTGAGCGTGGTATGTTTGGGTTTACAGTTTTTGATACTACTGTTGCAAAAGTGTGTTGCAAATACAGAGAGAAATCTTTCATTGCATCTTCCCAGATATCTTTAGGTTTAGCTTTATGGTCTGCAGCAGGTTGTGTGTTCAGCTTGGATAAACAGTTTGATGCTTATTAAAGAAGTGCAATTCATATTTAAGGCATGATTATGACTAACTGTTTACTTATATATCTTGTTGCTTTCTCTTTTTTTTTTTTTTCCTTTTTTTAAGCATTGATGCCTTGGAGTGCTAAATATTTTGGCTTTGCTTTTTCTGTCTCAGATTTTCTTTTCATTATTATCAGTCTGTTTCTTTTAAATTGCTTTAATGCTTTTATAATACTGGGTTTTATTAGAATTCCAGTTTTAAAAGTTGCTGTAGTATTGTATGTTCTGTATACTTAATCATAACCATTGTCACATAATTGTTATATTTATTTTGAAGGTGAAAAAGTATTGCAGCATGATGAATTTACTCGAGATCTATTTAGATTTTTACAACTACTCTGTGAAGGGCATAACAATGGTAAGTGAACTGAATTAACTTTGGGGAAAATGTGTGATGAGTCTGTTCTTAAACGGAGTTGAATAGAACCCATTATAATAGGTATTTTTCTACTAGAATTCCTAATGAATGCACTCATTCCTAACTGAATTCTAATCCATTTAGTTTTCTGAGGGAAAACTAACATGCCAACAATTTGAATTGCAGAGTTTAATTTGAATTTTTACATCTTAATGTAAATTCAATTTTTATGACAATTGTTAATAGTAAAGCCTATTGCAAATCACATGGATAACAATTCTTCAGTTGTATTTGTGTTGTGATCTGCATAAATCTGTGATTTATGTTGTATAGTTCCACTTTCACCACATAAGCATCTGTACCCAACAACATACTGTATTCTCCATGTCTCCATGAAAATATGAAAATGACCTTTTATTTTTTATTCCTATATATGTATACTAACCAAGCATAAATCACTTCTTATTTCAGACTTTCAAAATTACCTACGTACTCAGATGGGCAACACCACAACAGTAAATATTATCATTAGTACGGTTGACTATCTCTTGCGTCTTCAGGTGAGGAACAAACAGGAAAATGGAGTATAACGTGTTGCCTTTCCTTCATTTTTATAGTTTCATATTTTACTGGAGTCAAATGTGAAAATCCTCTCTTCAGGGATATCTAAAATAAAGAATTATGATTCAATTTAGTTCATCTCTTTTTTCCTTTTAAAATAGATGACTTTTCAGAATTCAGTGTGAAACCAGATGTTTGTTAATTTATTTCATTGTTCACTTCTGCAGGGAGCATAGATAAAAATGCAAAAAATTATTGTCATAAGAAATAGATTGACACAGAAATATTAAATTTCATCTGCTGCTGATTCAACTTTTGATGATACAAATGCAGGCAGTAAATACTGCTTACAGAATCCAAAATTAGAAAATATAACACTCCTGTTCTTTCTTAGGAATCTATCAGTGACTTCTATTGGTACTATTCAGGAAAGGATGTCATTGATGAATCAGGACAACGTAACTTCTCTAAAGCTTTGGCGGTCACCAAACAAATATTCAATTCCCTTACAGAATATATCCAGGTAAACAAAAAGCTTTGCTCAAGGTATTAACAGTGAAGTCCTATGATTACATAGGCCTGATCGTATCCTATCATAAATTTGTAAGTACTTTGGCTCTGTTTTTCCTAATTTTTATAAAGTTACATGGAATGTCTGGCCCAGTGTCAAAGTTAATACCAAAACATGTGAATGGCTGCATATTTAACATGATACAATCTAGTATTTATGCACTAGATACCAAAGAGACCTTGGGAAACTTTCTCATGAAGCTTCATGGATGCCTAAAGTTTCTTTTTAATTTTTTTTCCAGGGAGAAAGCTTAGGAAAGCAAATAGTTTTATTTGTTTTGTTTTATTTTATTTTGTATAAATAAAAAAATATGTTTTTCTTAATTTTTTTAGGGCCCTTGCATAGGCAATCAACAGAGTCTGGCTCATAGCAGGCTGTGGGATGCAGTTGTTGGCTTTCTTCATGTCTTTGCCAATATGCAGATGAAACTTTCACAGGTATTTTCAGTAGTCAAGTAGTCTGTCTTTGCATGTGTTTATAAATTAATTGAATATTGAAAGTCAATTGAATATTGATATATTATATATATCATATAAATGTGCTGAGACTCATTCATTGTGCATGGGCCTATTGTAATGTAGAGGTCCAAGACTGCATCTCAGGATTAGCATCTTCATATCACTCTTTTAGCATTAATCATCACTGTGCACTCACGTTTTTGAGCATCAAACCCACTGCTTCCTACTCAATTATACCTTTCTGATAATGAAGGTGACAGTTTGGTCCCTTCCTCCCTGTTGCCAAAACCTGATGATCTGTCAGAGCAGAAGCATCATTAAAAGCATGGTTCCCATGCTACAGCTAAGTAGAGCAAAGAAAAGCTGTGAAAGATTCAGAGAGGGAGGGAATGTGACGGTAGGCCAACTTGTCCAGTTAATCCATTACAGGCACTGAGCAGGAAGGCTACAGGCAGTGTTCATTTCACTGTGCAGGGCATTGTGGAGTCCCACCCCTTTTTACAGTTTCAGGTTTCTATGTTCTTTTGCGACTTCTGCTTAATGTACCCCTACATTCAAGCCACTAGGCATTGAAATGCAACAGTGTAGAGAGGCATTTCCTCACTCTTATTCTGTGTCTCTGCTACCCTCTGACTTAATCCTAAGATTTCTTTCCACCCTAAAGAAGTATATTGGAATTTTGAGGATACTTAACAGTTTCTAGATACTTAATGTTAGTCACAAATCCACGTTAGGCTTATCATGTTCTGTAGTTAAACAAGAGTTCTAGTTCTGTTTGAATGGTAATGCATTATGCCATTGAATATTCCCTGTGAAGTGAGATAGGATGGATTCTTTCTGAGATGAATACTGTCAGATCTGTGGAGTAACCAATTTTGTGAGTTTCTGCTGTCCCTTATCTGCACTTTGGTACCCCTTAATGCTTTATTAAAGCTTATCTTTATGGTATTAATACCTCTGCTGTAGTAAGTTACCCTCATATTGTATAAGACTCCTGATAGTAATCATAATAAAATGACAACGAAATGTTGCTGAAGAATGTGAACTACATTTAGATGACCATCTTGCATACTGTCTTGTTCCAAATGCATTTAGTTTTCCAAATAAATACAAAGAAAGAAAAAAAAACTTTTACTACTTTTTTTTTTTTTTTTTTTTTTTTTACAGGACTCTGCTCAGATTGAATTGCTTAAAGAACTGCTAGATCTGCTAAAGGATATGGTAGTGATGCTCTTGTCGCTGCTTGAAGGTTGGACCTGTTTTTCTTTATGGTCAAATATGATTAGCTAAGCTTCATAATGTAAAGTACAAGAATTACGTTAATCTTTCTAAACTGTTTTTTAATTGTCTTTATGTGATGCCAGGAAAACACCTATTTCATATTTATTTAACAATTGTTCTGGAATGTGCATAGTTGTGAAAAGAAGGGCTGCCACAGAAAAGCATGTTGCAAGAAGAATTATGAAGATTTAAGAACATTTTTGTTCTGTTCTCAACATGAATATGAAACTTATTTATTTAAAATGTAGCCATGTAAAATAACTTCCTGTTTTAACACACTACTTAGGTAACGTTGTAAATGGAACCATTGGAAAACAAATGGTAGACACACTTGTAGAATCATCTAGCAATGTTGAAATGATTTTGAAGTTCTTTGACATGTTCCTCAAGTTAAAAGATCTGACTAACTCAGATGCTTTCAAAGAGCATGACCCAGATGGTAAAGGCATCATTTCAAGGAAGGAATTCCAGAAATCAATGGAGGCTCAAAAACAATACACACAGTCAGAGATTGAATTCAAAAACAGAAGCAGATGAAAATGATATGTTTAACTATGTTGATTTTGTGGAACGATTCCATGAACCAGCCAAAGACATTGGATTTAATGTAGCAGTATTGCTAACAAACCTCTCAGAGCACATGCCTAATGATTCACGCCTTCAGAGCTTACTTGAGCCTGCGGAAAGTGTTCTTAATTATTTTGAACCATACCTTGGCCGTATTGAAATAATGGGTGGAGCCAAGAAAATAGAAAGAGTTTATTTTGAAATCAGTGAATCCAGTAGAATGCAATGGGAGAAGCCACAGGTGAAGGAATCCAAAAGGCAGTTCATATTTGATGTTGTAAATGAAGGTGGAGAGCAAGAAAAAATGGAACTCTTTGTGAATTTCTGTGAAGACACAATCTTTGAAATGCAGTTAGCGTCCCAGATCTCTGAAACTGATTCATCTGAGAGGCCTGAGGAAGAGGAAGAGGCTGAGCCTTGTTATGTAGTGGATATTGGAGATGATGAGGAAGAAGAAAAGGCCCTGGAATCTGCTTCAGCTTTTGCAATGGCCTGTGTTGCGGTGAAGAAGAATGTCGCCAACTTTTTTAAAATGATCACTGTGAAGAACCTAAGGAAACAATACAGAAAAGTTAGAAAGATGAGTGTAAAAGAGATGGTGAAAATGTTTTTTTCCTTTTTCTGGATCCTATTCGTAGGGATGTTCCAGCTATTTTTTTCTATAGTGTGGGGAATTTTCCAGATTCTTTGGAGCACTGTATTTGGGGGTGGCCTGGTTGAAGGAGCCAAAAACATTAAAGTTACTAAAATATTAGGGGACATGCCTGACCCAACACAGTTTGGAATCCATGATGATGTTATGGAAGCAGAAAAGGCTGAAGGCACTGAGCATGGCATCAGAGCTGAACTTGTGCAGTTTGTGAAGGGTGAAAAGGGAGAAACTGACATAATCTCAGATATTTTTGGCATTCATACAAAGAAGGAAGGTGGCTCAAAACATGGTCATGATGCTGGACTTGGAGATATTGCAGAAATCCTTGGTAACGATATCCAGTCGTCTTTGGAAAACACAGTTCATAAGAAAAAAGGATTACAGGTATGTTAAAGTAATTTTGTATTTCTTCGGAGAAAATGATAATATAAATATGTTACTGAGTTTTCTATTAGTAACTTCATTATTTGCCAGTTAACTGATTAATAAATGTTCTCGATGAGAACAGACTTTATATATAATCTATACTCTTAAAAACAATCAGGAGAGTTTAGGTGGCAGAAAAAGTCAGTCCAGTGTATTTAGATTTCACTACAGTAAATTGTTGTTATTGTTCATTTGGACTTCATTCAAAACAAAAATCACTATCAGTTTTCTAGGCACAGTTTTTGCTTTAAATGGTTTACAGTCTTGTTTATTCTTCATACCCCATTTTTTCACAGTATATTTCAGTTGCTTTTGCAGTCTACTTTCTTCATAATAACTCCTTATCTCTATCGTCTTTCTTCTAAATGCTTTCCTGATCGCATATAACAAAATATATTTTTTCTTATTATTTGAAATAATTTTGCCTGAGTTTATTGTTTCTTTAATATTTATCATATAATCATTCTTTATTTTTATTCTCTTTCATGAACAATATATTTTGTTCCACTCAGTTGAGCTAAAAGTAATTTATCATTTTGTTTAAAAATGGATTGAACTGAATGTCAAAACCCAAATGCATTTGTCATATTTGGAAGGCATTATGTTTCACTCTACACTCCAGATCTGTTTCTACTTGTTATTCAAATATATCTTTCCTCTCATCATTAATACACCTCTTTATGCTATGCTTTCCAGATATTTTCAAGATAAGCCTCTATTGTACATCTTAGTTCATTATTTCCTCTTCATTTGTATTTTTTTTCTCCAAGAATTGTTTATTGCCTAGATTGAACTATATTCTTCCATTTATTTTTCTTATTTATTTATTAATTCATCTTTATGCATGTACTTAACAATGACAGTCTTTTAAAATCCTGTCTCATTTAGCATAAATGTAATGTGGTTGGTATTGAAAAATATTATTTTAACTTAAGGGTCTTAGCAGATCTGAGTAAATACTTTAGAATTTGCTTTACTTTGATTTATGCATTTCTCTCAGATTTTTTTGTAACTATTGTTAAAAATGCTCAGTAATTTACGCACATACTTTGAATCATTAATGTGCAGTCAGCTACGCAATTTATCCAGTTTTTACCTTAAATATGTTATCTAGTCAAATTTAACAAATAATGTTTAGACTAATTCTATATTACAGAAACTGCTCTTCACATTGTGTATGTGAACGGCTCAAGTAATCCAGTTAGAGCACTTGATATAGCTATTAAGTAGAGCTCAAAGAAGAAAGAGCAGTGTAAGAATCATAAATTCGCTTTGGGAAGTCACTATGTCTGTCTTAAGCATTTACAGTAATAAAACTTACACAAATGGATAGAAACAGAAATTCACCTCTGTATACTGGAAAAGCAGTTGTGTAGTGATAAGGTCAGTGACATTACCATGTAGCCAGAGAAACTTCAAAATAAACTCTGGAATTGTGCATGATGAAGATTGTTAAGACTTAGTTTTTACTGTGAAGTTCCACAGGAACCTGTGGTGAGAGCCGTGGGCGTTCACAAATAAGAAAAGAAGTGAAGCTAATAGTTTGCTGATAAATATAAGTTACTTGTAACAGTAAAATCAAGAACCAGCTGCAAAGTGGCCTTAAAATAGCAGAAGAAAATCAGTGAAGTGATGTATATGGGAGAAAAAGTTATAATCTTACATGTAAAATGTTGGATTTTGAGCTCATTGCTACTGCTTGGGAGTCTAATAGAGTTGTACAAAAATATCAGTTCAATGAAAACGTCAATCAACACAGATCAAAAAAGCAAAATGAAATCTTGAATGTTGATAAAGGAACAGAGAGGAAAACCCCAGAATACATATGCTCCACCCAAAGTATATCCCTGTCTTGAAGACCAGGTTCCCCATTACAAAAAGAATGTGATAAAACTGAAAAAGGTTCAGTGAAGGTCAAAAAGTTAATGAAACTTGATATGGAACAAATCTTGTGTATGGAATTAAGTGGGTTAAGGCTATTCAGCCTGGAAAGGAGACAACTGAGAGAGCATATGATAGAGGGATGTAAAGGATGGATAGGGATTTATTCATTCTTCCCTCACCCTACCCTTTAGAAGAGCTCGGCATCATCAAATGATCTCTGAATTACCCTCCACCAGCTTCTTGGCTGCAGTCAGCCATCTGTAAAATTGTATATTGTTTTTTTCCGTATCTCAAGGCAATGTTGTAAACACATAGATGGTTGTGAGGTGTGCCAGTGAAGGTTTAATGAAGCATCAACCCACCTAACATAAACAGTTTGATGAAAACATTGCGTCAGTAAAAGTTGTTTAAATATTTGTCTGTTTTCAATTGCATGTTGACAAAGTAATTAGGTTTTGTAATATTAGATAATTACACAGATCTTTTGCAGTCAACTGGGCTAGTTACACTGTTCAGAACACTATACTGAAAAAAGCTATCAGAAGAATTTCTGCAGTTTTCACTATTAAAATCTAGTCTGAGCTGTCTATTTTTAAAAATCTAACACTTCAGAAGTGCAAAGTGCTATAAAAAGTATAGTGTGGTAATTATTTTGTTTCCTAGAAAACAGTAACTAAAGTTACCAAAATGTTATTTGAATAGATCCATTCTGACAGTTAAAATAATTTTTGCAGATACCTGAAATTACAAAAGAAGCTGAAACAGAAAGAAAAGCAGAAGCTGAGAAGGCTGAGTAAGTTATTTTTACACAGTTTCTGTTTAATTCCTTGCTACAGTCTAGTGCTAGATAATTTGGCCAGAAAGAATCCAAGCAATGCTCAGTATTCAAAGCACTTTATGTACACTTTGTCTTATCAGTATTCTGGAAAGCAGCACAGTCCCTAAGGGGTGGCAGGCCATCTCAGTGGACAACAACATGGTAATATGATTTCTGTGGCCCTTGACAATTCTGCATATAACTGTGGGCATTGGTTTTTAAAAAATTCCCCTAACTACCTTTAAAAATGAGCACCAGTCTTGAAAAAAACTCTGCAACTTGTCATTACTGCTATTTACACTTTCTCCCACGGTAATTTTCAGGCAACAGTTGTTGATCACTGAAACACAAAATTTGCCTAAACCCAACAGTTTTTATTATTGCTGTTTTATCTGTTCTGAAGTTGTGAATCTGACAGCAGATACATTCCTTTGTCCAGTCATCCTACACATGACTGCCTTATAAATGACTTTTTAAAAAATGTTTACCTTGCTTTAGCAGCATCTTTCTTTTAAGGGGCATGCTGTCTTTCTGGACCTGCAGTCACATTGTAGGCTTGCAGCCTCATGAATTCCCTTATGATATTTGTACACACACAAAAGATCTCCTAGAGATTCTTACATATTCAAAAGCTATACATAATTTTTTCTTTATTTTCTATTTTTGCTTCATGTCTAAAATGTTTCCTTTAGCCTCATTTATCTTTCTCCTCATATCTGCCAATGCTAATTAATTTAAGTATGCCATTGGGATCAGTATTTTAGGACCAGATACACTTTGTATAGCTTGTCTGAAAAGTATCCTTTTTCCCCCCTCTGTGTATGTATGTTTATATGTGTGTATGTATGCATACATGTATTTATATGTGTATATACATAGATGTATATATGTATGTCTTAGACAAGAATATGTGCACATAAATGTATGCTCATACATGTGCATTTAAGTGAGGTTTTGGGGTTTTTTTGTGATACCTCATTAAAGTATGGCATCAGCTCTATCTGTGATGGTTCAGTATATTTTCCTTTTCTGTCTGTTACCTTCCAGGCTGCATCTAACATACTTCTTCAATTAAGAAGTACCCTTCTTGCCTTTTATTGTCACAGAATTGTTTTGATATGATTTTTTTTCTCTCTTTAATCCCCGCAGGGATGTTAAGCGTATTATTTTCATTGTTTAGAGCACTTACAGTAATTAAAAAGTGCACTTAGACTCTTCCATGGTTTTTTTGGTACGATCTATCCAAAGAATCTGTTGATGAGTGTTACTCATCAAGAGAGTAACTTCAAAATAAGCAGTTTCAGAAACTGTTGTTTTATCTAGACCATTTTACAATGTACTATTAAGCTGGTTAACATTTAGATTGGTCAAATGACCCCTTTTAAAAGTTTTGCTAAGTCACATCACTGATGGTCTTTTTTCTTTGTTGACTTGATTTTGGTCTCCTGATTGAGACACTAGTAGCATATTTACCAGTGCTTCAGTGAAGCTATTTATAAATATCTAGGAATTCACCAAAAATCTCCTGTGACACCCATTTTCTTATCTCAGGCTTTTTCACCTCTTATTTTCCATAAGCATGATCTCTTTCTACCTCTGTTATTTTATTGGACTCACTTTCCTTATTCCCTGTTGTCCTCTCTTGTCTGCCATTCTTAATTCTCCTCTCAAGTACTTTTGCAGCATATTCAAATTGCCTTCAGCTTAAAAATTTGAGTTTAAATGGCTTAGATTTCTGAGGCTGCAACAGAGACTTTTTTGGTAGAAGATAAACACATTCTTAAACACCCATCATATGATTCTTGCTGCAGTGTGATAAAGTGAACAACGTCCACATGCCTAAGACTTTCAACCACCTTGATG